CCCCCCGCTCTCAGTGTCCACATGGAGCAGAGTGGAGAATGGACATTCTCCGCTCTGCTCCCCGCTCTCCATCCTGAACTACCTTGACATGGTCCTGGGACCCCCAGAAGAGAGGGGGACCCTGAAAACCACAGCAGGGAGGGAGACCGCCAGTGGTAAGAGGCAGCCGGAGGTGGGGCAGCGGGAAGGACGGACGAACAGGCTAATTACAAATGATCTGTGTATGTCGAGATCACTTGTACAAAATGAGCTGCAGCTTTGCACGCTCTACATTTAGCCCTGCTTGCCCGAAGCAGGGCTAAATGTAGAAAAAAAACTATCTGCCCATTGTCCGTAACTGCATGTGCCGAGCGTCGGGCGATAGGAATCCACACCCTTGCCTCCCCTCTACTCTCTACTGCCCCAAGGCCGGGCCTCAGTGGCCTTGTGGGAAATTCTGCCCTGCTGTCATGTACTTTTGCCTAACATCATGTCAGAGTATCTGAATGGTCAATTTAGAAATAGTTACTATCATATAAAAATGTAAGGAGGTTTATAGGTCATCAATAGAACTTATACCAGGGAGCACCAGTGGGGAAATCTGCCTGCCATCATACCTAGCTCAGCACTGCCCATACCCAGCTCTGCCCATGTTGAAGTTTTGAGTCTTCCAGTTGACACATAACAGACACCCATTATCAACTGCTCTATAAATTTCCCTTAAACTCTCATTTTGCAAAAGTATCATCTTCAAGCTACATGAGTCACAATTATGTCTCACCTTCATCCCTGGTTCACCTGGTGGTCCTGGTTCTCCCTTTGCCCCGGGAGGTCCCTAGAATAAATAAAGATCAGTTAACCATTTTAAACATTTGATTACTACCCTGTTTCCCCAAAAATAAGACCTAGTACTATTTTTGGGAATTGCTAAAATATAAGACCTACCCCGAAAATAAGACCTAGTTGTGACCATTCCCAGGGCCGGTGGTGGCATAAGGGGGAACTTGAATAGCCGCGGGAGAGGCAGGAGAGAATCAGCGGTGCCAAAGAAGCCAGCGCTAGAGGAAGCGGCATAAGAGCGGCATAAGCCGATGCCTCCTATATAGCGCTATATAGCGCTGGCTCCTGTCACAGGCGGAGTGATACCAAATGCACTCCGCCTGTGAGGAATCGATAGTGAAAGTGCGCTTCACTCATTCTGGCCAGCGATTGGTTAGCAAATTGTTTTTGGAAAGGTACGGCACCCCTGATTGCCCTCATCACCATATTTTTCTACATGAATAAGTGTGGATTGTTGTACATTAAAAAAAAATAATAATAATACCCCGCCAAAAAAAAAAATATAAGACAGTGTCTTATTTTTGGGGAAACACGGTATTTAGTCTCTAATGACATGTAGCCAGACACCATGTGATCTATGTTGCCTAGGGTGAGAGATGGGGAACAGGATTTTTATTCATGATAAAAGGAAGGCACTTCATTATTCAAAATCTTAGAGGGTTATTCACGAAGGAGCTGAAGGATCTAGCTGTACCTTCGACTGATCCTTCAGCTCACTTCGGCCGCCTGAGCCCTTTAGTTCAGTCAAACCAAGGGCTGCTGTATGGGCTATTCACTATAGCTCGTACAGCAGCTGAAGGAAGGCGAACGGCACAGCCGAGGCTCTTCGGCAGCTTAGTGAATAACCCAGTTAATGTTGTCTGGCAGTGTGAACATGGGAACTATTGATTCATGTGAATTGGAATTATAAAATATATCCAAAAACCAAAATTATTTTTAACTTTGGATATAATGTGGAAGTGTTGAAAGCCCTGTGCGATTTACAGCTCCTATTTGTCTTGCTAACCATTGTCAACGAAACAGGAAATTATGTACAATCCAAACATTTTTTTAGAGTTGTAATTTAGAACAGAAATAGAGTGAAAATCTTCCAATGGGGACACCTGTTCCACTGAAAACTGTCTGGGAGCAAATTTCCCTAACTTCAAAGGGCTTTCCTCTGACTTCTTGTTATGTCTCTAGGTCAGGAAGTGAAGGGAATTAAAGGAGAACTATGAGGTGAGTGCTTTTCATTCACCTCATAGTTCTAGCCGACCTGTGACAATGAGACTGTCACAGGTCGGCTCAGTAGATCGGGAGGTGAGCGAACACATACCGGCGTTCGCTCACCTCTCGATCCTGTCACGGCTCTCTGCCGTGACAGGGGAGGGGCTGGATTCCCCCCTCCCCGCTCCGATCCGCCAGCCTGACTGGCGGAACGGACGTGGGAGGGGGCCGGTACAGCTGGCTCTGCCTTTAGATAGGCAGAGCCAGCTGTCAGTCACGCAGCTGGGCGGATCCCGGCACAATTGTTAAGATCCGCTTCAGCTGCGGCGTCTCAGTATACCGTGAGCTACAGCTCGCGGTATACTGAGCCTAGGGTGATGGGAGGACGCTAGTTTGTGTCCTCCCGTTACCGTAAAGAGAACTATGGGGAAAAGACTTAACCCCATAGTTCTCCTTTAATCTACTGGGGAATGCACAGAAAAAAAATGACAGAGGCCTTACTAATTCCTTACTTAGTGAAAAATAAAAACCTTGGTTTAAATGCTAACTATATCCAAAAGCTAACTTTCCACATAACAACACTAAGGGGTCTATTTATAAATCTTTTCCCTCAAGATTCAAGCAACTTTTACCCATGACTCACACATTTTTCTAATTGAATCTAAATAAAATTGTGTCAATCTTGGGTGAAAACATTTATAAGTCAATCTCTAAGTAAAATTATTTCCTGTGAAATATTTCAGAAATGATCCTTCTACATTATACAGATATACTAAATTGGGTGGTGCAGGATCATAATCATGATAAATTTGACCCCACAGTTAGACCCAAATCATCATAATGGGCTCCCTTCCCATCACTACTATAAACTATGGATAAAGTTCACCAAAAGTTATAGTGCCGCTAAATCAGAGCCAAAAATGACATTTCTAAACCTCCAAACTGCTTTGTGGGCTGGCCCTGGGCATACAAACTCTAATGAGTTTATAATGATTTTAACATTTGTTTTGAATGTTCATATGTTTAGATATGAGGGCTGAAACAATACTCTGAAGAGAAGCGGGTCAGTGATATGTGTGTATGTACACAGAAGATGATACTACTTGGCCCAATATCATATTATACTGTATACAATTGTAAACACCTAGTTCATCTAGAAGTGATTCTAATCAAACTGGACACAAGGGAATATTAAAAGGTAATTCCAAAGTTCAACTGTTGCTCTACCATTAATATACTAAAACAGCAACATTAACCATCTATTTGCTCTATCCATGTGACTCATGAATCATACATTAGCTACCAAAAAACAGGGGATGATTAGAAAGAATTTGCTTCCAAGTGTTGGCTCCAAGATTATTGTATAAATACCTTATGTCCAATTTCTCCCATTGCCCCAACAGGTCCTTGAGGTCCAGATGGCCCCTAAAACGGTAAAATATTATCAGTCATTTACTTAAACCTTTTTAACCTCAGCTGGACAGAACATTTTTGCAATTTTTCCCATTGTTTTCATTTTCTATTGCTGCGTTGCTGTCGTTTGTAAAAGACCCCCCCAAACCGTATATATTTTCTGAAAGCACAGGCCCAGTAGAATAAAAAGATGGTGCTACTAATTTTGTAGGCCCTGCGATAATTGCGCAAATGTTTGTCAAATCAATATTAAACCGATAAAAACACACAATTAAATTGATAAAAGTAGGAATGCACCAATATTTCGGCCAACGAAACATATCGGCCGAAGATGGCACTTTTGGCAAAATGCCGAAAGTGCAATTTTTTGGCCGAAATAGCGGTACATCCGTGATTTCTCTACTCCCCGCTGGGCGCTGCTCTGTGTCGCAGCGGGGAGGAGAGAAACTGTAACAGGAGGCTGAACTCTGCGGGAGGAGAGCTCTGTGAGTGGCCAGCGTCTCTCTTCCCCGCACCGATCAGCCTCCTGTGACAGATCGGGAGAGTGGTGTGTGGGCGGAGACAGCTCTCAATGCTCACAGGAGGCCGGTGGTGCGGGGGGAGGAGTCAGCTGTCAGATCGAGATCAGCCTCCTGTGAAAGCTGATCCAGGATGGAGAGCGAGTGCAAACACTCAGCGATCAGTGATCGCTGAGTGTTTCTAAATAGTTGAGGTCAGAGTATGTTTACTGTGTCCTCAATTATGAATGAATGGGGGAGAGATCTACATCACCTCCTGTTCATTCATGATTGTGGATATAGTGAACATACTCTGTCCTCAAGTTATGAATGAACAGGAACACTCAGTATAGAGGATTCCTGTTCATTTATAACAGGGGCTGCAGAAAAGAGTACTCATACTCGCCAAAATGATCCGATAACTACCCACATACAGGAACTTCCAGTCAGAGGAAGATTTCCTCTGACCGGCAGTGCTGTAGGGGAACATGGAGCCAGCTTACCGTGCAATCAGGAAGCTGATCGTTGAGTAATGACCTGCCCTCCCAAACAGCCGACTCGGTGCTGATTGGCCGGGAAGCTGGCTTTCTGGCCAATCAGCATCAAGCCATCAACATGGAACCGGCTTCACAGGCAATCAGGAAGCCGGGCGGCATGTCATTACACGCCGCCCAGCTTCCTGATTGCCCGGGAAGCTAGCTCCATGCCAGCGGAAGTACCGGTATCAGTACCGAAAGCAAAATATCGGTACTTGTACTCGATACCGAAAAACCAGTATCGGTGCATCCCTAATTTATACCTTTAAGTCCAAATGAACCTTGGAACCTAAGGATCCCTCTTTCTGGCATAGTCAATGGATTGTAAGTAAATCTGTAACGTGTTGATACAAAGGAAAGTAACGGATACCTCACTAGGCACCCTAAGATGCCACATCTAAGCTTTACAATGCCTTTCTGTCTCCTTAAAAACCCCTTAAAAAAACAAACCTCAAGTTATATGGCAAAAATGCTCCATCCACATCCTCTAAGTCAGTTCCTGATTACAGCTGAACTTCAGGCACATATAAAAGACACAAATTAATGCAGCGCTCTAATTGAGAGCCAGATACAGTACATTGATGGGGGATTTATCAAAACTGGAGCAAAGAAAATCTGGAGCAGCTGTGCATGGCAACCAATCAGCTTCACTCTCTAATTTTCAAATCTTAGTTGAATAAACTGAAAAACTAAGCTGATTGTTTGCCATGGGTAACTGCTCCAGATTCTGTCTGCTCCAGTTTTGATAAATTCCCCACATTGTGTTCCACAATGCTCATGTGCTTACAAGATTATTATCCCATTATCCCTGACACTCTTCCTGTCTACCTTGGAGTGTTGGGTGGTCCTGCTCACCTCTGTTTGTTCCAGCAACTCCTGTTGCATTATTTATAATACCGTATAAAAGAAATGTAAATTTCATCAGGTAGAGGTTTTTGTTTTGTATTTCAAATATTGTATTGTTTTCATCAAGACATTATATGACACATACACCATAAAACCAGACAATACAGCACCAACCATCTAAACATGACATAACACATTCAACTCCGCTGAGTTCTTATTCTCACTATAATTTATACATAAATATATACAAATAGCCTTTAAGAAAGAAAGGGGAGCTTGCCCTCACTTTTTGTTCAAAAGACTACTGTTTCCTAAACAAGAAGCGATGGGAACAATTCCCAAAGTGGGTGTTGACAGTAATGAAACCACGTAAAATATTGTTATTGATGATACTTACTGGGTTCCCTGGAATTCCTTTTTCCCCAGATGGGCCAGATGGTCCTGGAATTCCCTGTAAAATTCCATAATTGGAGATAAACAATGGCAAAAAAAGAGAGTTCTCTAGTTCCAAACATACAATGATGAAACTTTACTTACTGGAAAGCCACGTGGGCCAACAGTTCCTCTTTCTCCCATTTTGCCCTGGGTACAAAAAGTATGTGAATGACGTAACCATTCTACTGTATGTCCATGATAATTACAGATGTATAATGTGTCTACATACCTGTTGACCAACCAGTCCTTCTTTGCCCTGTACTCCATGAGGTCCCTGTGAAAACATAACTTCATTAACACGCTAATAAGAAAAACAATGCAACAATTAATAGCATGACTTCTATCCTAAGTTTCTTATAATACAGACTATTTTGTAAAATAGGATGTATTATAAAAAGAATGCGAATTGCTTTCATTGCAGAATATTAATTACTTTCATTGCAATCATCTAGAGGTCTGCAAACTATATTAATTTTACTAAATGTATTTGCCAAATGTTATTTCTCCCTGCATAATTGACTGTGTTGCCAGAAAGCTTTGGGCCCCTTATGCTCCTAGACCCCATAGTAGTCACATTGCCTGCTATAGTTACAGCTCTTCTATTGCTTGATGATTATCACATCTGCCTTGTAATGCAGAGTTCCTGGGTTAATGCCGCAAATCCTTTCAAAAACAGACTTAAGTCAACTGGCATCTAAACATAATTGAAAAAAATCTGCCATGATAGAAATGACAAATTTTCAATGAATAAAATACATGTATTGCTTTCATTTTGGACTTTAGTGTCAAGAGGGTCTTTATAAATAGACTATACTTTAATGTTAATATCACACTGGCTATTCATCCACCATATTATTGTTGAGTACTCTTCAAGTCTCTTATATGATACAAACACACAAAAGAGTGCAAAGAAATCAAATAAATAAATCTATGGTGTAGAATATTGTGTCTTGATGTAGTATGATGCTTAGGATGCATGCAATGTATTATTTTACATTTAATATACATGGGGGGGGAGGTATCAAAACTGGAGAATACAACATCTAGAGCAGATTTGCACTGCAACCAATCAGCTTCTCTTTTCAGTTTGTTCAGTTAAAATTTGAAAATGAAAGAGAGAGGCTGATTGTGTCTGCTCCAGGCTTGATAAATTCTCCTCATTGTGTCCTGCATACACAAAGTGCAGCATAAGGGCCACATTCAGGCAGCAGAGTTCTCCTGGAAAATATACAGTTATGTTTTGGTAAAGTTGTACAGAATTTCCCAGGCAGACCAGCGTTTTCACTGCTCTTAGAATAAAGTGTATGAGTTGTCCACACAGCGTGCAGTGACAAAGCATACACTTGGGGTGCTTTGTAATCCTATACTGGATCTGATTTGTCAAAACTACCCAAATCAGTATATTGCAATGACCAAACAAATGCTGAGGATATGAATTGTTAACTGGCAATCTAACCACAAACAGATATTTTACTTTAGCATAGTTGCTAAAACTCTAAATTATATATTTTGGGGATTCCAGTAAGAAAAACAGCAGAAGTCCCAGGTCCGTCCAACTTCAGATGGTATCATGCTCCCTTAGAATTATACCTAATTATGTGGAGTAATAATGTAGAACAAATATTTGGAAGCTCAGCTACAATAGTCTAATCATCTTCACAATAATTATGTGGGCTGAGGGTAATATGGCCCCGTGGGAGGAAGGCAATATGGCCCTGTGGAAAGAGGACAATATGGTCCCGTGGAAGGAGGACAATATGGCCCCCGTGGAAGAAGGACAATATGCCCCCCGTGGAAGAAGGACAATATGGCCCCCGTGGAAGAAGGACAATATGGCCCCCGTGGAAGGAGGACAATATGGCCCCCATGGAAGGAGGACAATATGCCCCCCGTGGAAGGAGGACAATATGGCCCCCGTGGAAGAAGGACAATATGCCCACCGTGGAAGGAGGGCAATATGGCCCCCGTGGAAGGAGGACAATATGGCCCCCGTGGAAGGAGGACACTATGGCCCCGTGAAACGAGAACAATTTGGCACTGTGGGACGAGGCAAGGAGAAAATTGCATGGTGAGCTTACATATATATGACAATAGATACATATATCACTTCCAAAATATCTAAGGCAGAATAATCAGTATGCAGATGCAAGAAGTATGGCGTTACTACAAACTAATCAATCATAGCTGCAATGGTGGTAGACATCAATTTATATACAGTATCTCACGTCTGGTCTTATTGTAGCTGAGGTTCCTGTTACATTGCATCAATAAGGAATGGATTCCCTCCATTGATATCTCTATGTTTTTCTCACATTTGTACTTGGGTTAGAAAAGGGTAGGGTGTGGAAGGCAGAAGGAAGGGTAGACTAAATGCCCACTCTTGGCTGCCCATTAGGCAAATCCTACATTTGCCCAACCATCACATGTGATGTGCAAATCAGTTGCACCACTGAATCGCTTTACATACGCATCAGTTCCTGCCCTCAAGGTCCCTGAAAGGAAAGTAAGGAGTCAATGAAACTACCTGCATTTCTTTGTAATGTGGGAGGAAACTGCAGTACCAGGAGGAAACACAAGCACAGATAGAAGATGCAAACTCCATGCAGATAGTAGATGGGATTTGAACCGAGGACCCCCTTGCAAGTGTAAACCACTAAGCTAGCCTGCTGCCCACTTCCAACTATTGACCTGCATGTGGCTCCTAAACTGCTGGAAAACTGATTGGTTGCTTATAACTAAATGATCACCACTGCCTTTATATACTTCTTGCTAATCCATATAGTACAAAACTTCAGCTCCTAAAACAGTCTCTATAACCAGGGAGGGATGAATGTTAAGTTGGCCAGTTGGGATATAAATCACTGATGCAGTTAAATAAAGTAGTCAGTGTGTGTGTTCTGGAGGTCAGGGGTGACGGTTACAGTGGATACACTGCATGTCCCTAGCATTGCTTAGTCTGCCTGAAAGCATCATAGCATCACACAGACTGTCTGCGGGTGGCTTAACAAGTCAATGACAAAGAACAACACCTCTGTGGGAACAGGAAGACGGGCAATGTTCCTCAACCCTATATAGACAGCCCCCTTCCGAAATCTGGGCCTGGAGGACCTGCTCTGTCACAGATAATGTGATCCCCCAGCATTTTACCCTGGTCAGAATGTCAAACTTTACCACTGCACATGGAAAAAGCTATCTTTGTACTATGTAGGCTCTAGCTACATTATAAGCCTGTAGAAACTGGTCAATCAGCTGTGCCAAGCCACAGAGCTTTAATTTAACAGGTGTCCCTTGCAATGGTCTGTGCAGCAAGTTTTCTGATTGGCTGTATCCTATTTATGGGTCAGTAGATTGAGAAGTGGGCGAACACATTCCTGCGTTCGCTCACCTCTCGATCCTGTCACATGTCTCTGCCGTGACAGGGGAGGGACTGGATTCCCCCCTCCCCGCTCCGATCCGCCAGTGCTGACTGGCGTAACGGACGGGGGAGGGGGCAGGTACAGCTGGCTCTGCCTCTAGATAGGCAGAGCCAGCTGTCACTCACGCAGCTGGGCGGATCCAGACACAATTGTCGGGATCCGCTTCAGCGTCTCAGTATACCGCGAGCAGTAGCTCGTGGTGTACTGTGGCGTCTCAGTATACCGCAAGCTGTAGCTCACGGTATACTGTGCTTAGGGTGACGGGAGGATGCTAGTGTGTGTCCTCCTGTTAACCTAAGGAGAACTATGGGGAAAAGCCTTAACCCCATTGTCACGGTCTGGGGACCGTGGCACTAGGGTATGTGAGCTCCGGGGTATGAGGAGTTAGTAGGAGTCACAGACAGGAGGGATATCTGGGTTGTTGGTCACAGAGAGAGAGGAACTAATGGTCTGTGCGTTCTCAGGACACACTAGAGGCGCAGAATCTAAGAAGGGCCAGGTATGCGATAGAGCCTCTAGTGGTGAGGATGATTGGCTGCTGGACACCTTCCAGGTTGCGGCCCTCTAGCGCACCCACACAGACACAAAGGACTAGTCGAAGCACCGGGGAACTGGATACAAACAACAGGTAGGGAAGAAAGTTGTAACCAAGAGGAGGAAGATAGGAACAGTGGCACACAATGAGAGAAAGAGAAAGTCACAAGCAAAAGGTGCACAACGCACAGCAGAACAGCAGAGTATGCTGAAGAGGGTAGCTAAACAAGGACACTCGGGAAGGGTAAGTAGCTTATAGGAGCAGGAAGGTGCAACGTACAAAAGTAAGCAGGAGATGTGCGTTGCACATGCATACAAAGAAGCAGGATAGCAGAGAGAAAAGTACATAAAGAAGCACAAAGGGATGTATGCACACAGGGGGTGTGCAGACAAGGACGAATCCAACACAGCCACGAGGTAAGAGAGGAGCACAGAAGTAAAGGGGTGACAGCAAAGCATAGGAAGATACACTGGAAGGTAAGACGGAACTGAAGTACAAGAAAGCAAAAAATAGGAGGAAGCAAATAGACAAAGGCTGGAGAGGGAAAACACAGTAGAAGTGAGGCAAACAAGGCAGTATAGAGAGACTCACAGCACACAGGTGAAAGCAATTAAGGTCTGCAGCAATATACTAAAGGTAACCACTGAAATACTATAGTAGGGGCGTAAGGAGCAAAGCAGAGGATAACGCCAAACAAGGATACCAGCTGGTACAGGGAAGCCAAAGGCACAAGGATCCAATAGCAAACGCAGGTAATAAGATCCCAGGGATAGTTAGAGCCACAAGGGGTACGGAACAAGGCATAAGACTTGTTGCTCGCACCAAGAGCAACAAGTAAGGAAGTCCTGAATAGGGGAGGAGGAGAGCAGATTGGCTGCAGCCTTGTGAAACACCATAGGCTGACAGCCCAGAACCAGGGAGCAAAGCAAAAATCCGGCACGGATTTCCAGATATTGTGACACCCATAGTTCTCCTTTAAGGAAAATTCCAAGCTGAAATTATTCATTTGGTTTTCGGTGGCAGATGATCGGAGCAACCTGGTTCTAAAATGTCTCTTGATAAACACCTGACCTGTTCTTATTTAGGAATCACAAATATCAACTCCACTGGCATCCAGAGTTGACATTTGTGATTCCTTAAATAAGGACTTCCTTAAATAACAACTCCATTGTCACCTGCCCCCCAGTGGATTCTCTCTCTCTTTATATATACACTGAGTGGCCAGATTATTATGACCACCCCATCAGTACTTCGTTGGGCCACGAGATGACTCCACGAGATGACTTCGTTGGGCTGCCTCGTGACTCCACGAGATGTTGAAAG